TAGAAACATAAAACTGAAGGGATTCTTGATTATGTGCATTCTGATGTATGAGGCCCTACGGGGGAGTCGTCATTGGGAGGATCTCAGTATTTTGTTACCTTTATGAATGATTTATCCAAGAAATTTTGGGTATATTTCTTGAAGCAGAAATCTGAAATATTCTTTAAATTCAAGATGTGAAAAGCTAAGTTGGAAAACCAAACTAGCAGGAAGTTCAAGTATTTGAGGTCTGATAATGGCACAGAGTACACAAATTTGCAGTTTCAGAAGTTCTATGACGAGTACGGGAATCAAAGGCGTTTTTCAGCGTGCAAGACACCACAGCAGAATAGTGTGGCAGAAAGGATGAACATGTCCGTAACTGAAAGGGCAAGGTGCTTGAGACTAAATGCAGGACTTCATAAGAGTTTCTGGGTAGAGGCTGTGAATATGGTATGTTATCTCATCAATAGATCACCTCAAGCATCATTGGGTGACAAGATCGCATAAGAGGTATTGATAGGTAATCCAGTTAAATTTGATCATTTACAAATTTTTGGTTGTCCTGCTTATGTGCATGTACCTGGAGATGAAAGATCAAAACTTGATACAAAATCCAAAAAGTGCATCTTTCTGGGCTATAAAAAAGGTGTGAAAGGATACAAGTTTTGGGATCCGATTGCAAAGAAAATGGTGATCAGCAGAGATGCAGTTTTTGATGAGTAGTTTATGTTACAACAGAATCAAGACAAGGTGTCAGAGAAGAGTTCCGGTTCAGATGCAGTGCAGATGGATTTAGAACAATAGCCAGTAGCTTCTGAGAGAGGTGAAAGTTCAAATCCAACACCTGGTGATTCTATTCCAGATGATATGCAGAATTATAACCTAGCCAAAGATAGACAGGGACACACCAATGTAAGGCCTCCTAGCAGATTGGGTTATGAAGACTTGGTCTCTTGTGCACTTCTCATCAGCGGCAATGATCCAACCATTTTTCAAGGAGCTATCACCAACCAGGAGAAAGAAAAATGGATGGGTGCAATGGTTGAGGAGATGGAGTCTTTGCAGAAAAATCGCGCATGGGAGCTAGTTCAACTTTCATAAGGAAAGAAGGCTATTAGGTGCAAATGGGTCTACAAAAGGAAACTAGCAGTATCAGAAAAAGAAAGGAAAAAGTTCAAGGTTTGACTGGTTGCAAAGGGATTTTCATAGCAGAAGGGGATAGATTATGATGAAATTTTTTCTCCTGTGGTCAGACATACTTCAATCAGGGTAGTACTTGCATTAGTAGTTATTTAAGATTTGTATTTAGAGCAGATAGATGTTAAAACTACTTTCTTGCATGATGATCTGAAGGAGCAGATTTACATGGAGCAGCCAGAAAGTTTCACTCAACCTGGACAGGAGCATCTGGTTTGCAGGTAAAAGAAATCGTTGTATGACTTGAAACAGTCTCTAAGACAATGGTACAAGTGGTTCGACTCCTACTTGGTTCAGATTGGCTACAAGGGATGTGAGTATGATTGTTATGTTTATGTGTAGAGACTTGATGATCGTTCTATTATTTTTCTGTGACATATGATTCTGTTACTGTATGTTGATGATATACTGATTGCTGCAAAGAACATGAATGATGTCTATGATTTGAAAGCTTTATTGAGCCAGGAATTTGACATGAAAGACTTGGGTCCTACTAAGAAGATTCTTGGAATGGAGATTCATCGATACATAGACTCAAGTCGATTATGTTTATCTCAACGAGGCTATGTTGAGCAAGTGTTGGAAAAGTTTGAGATGAGCAAAACAAAGCCTGTAAGCACTCCTTTGGCAAATCATTTCAAGCTTTCTTCAGAACGGTATTCTAAGACAGATATAGAAATCGAAGACATGACAAAGGTTCCATATGTCAGTGCAGTTGGCTGCTTAATGTTTGCAATGATATGTACTCTTCCTAATTTGGCTCATGTTTTTAGTCAAGTCTGCAATGCAAATACATGGCATGTTGTTAGTCAAGTCTGCAAATACATGGCTAAACTTGGAAGGCGACATTGGGAAGCAGTCATCTGAAGAGTACTGTAGGATAAGAGTACTGTAGGATATGAAATTATTTTTGGCAGTCAGTAGAATGATCCTTCAATTGTGGGGTATGTTGATTCAGATTATGCAGGTGATTTGGATCGCAAAAGGTCTACAACGGGGTATGTGTTTACTCTTAGTGGAGGGCTTATATGTTGGAAATCAACAATTTAGTCTATTGTGACATTATCTACAACTGAAGCTGAGTACATGACAGTAGCTGAAGCTGCTAAAGAAGCCTTATGGTTTACTGGGCTAGTAAGGGAACTGGGCGTTGAGCAAGGTGGAGTTCAGTTGCATTGTGACAGTTAGAGTGCTATTTATCTGGCTAAGAATCAGGTGTACCATGCGAGAACAAAGCACAATGATGTCAGGTATCACAAGATCAGAGAATTGATTACTTCTAGTGAGATACTGTTGCAAAAATTTCATACTGATGAAAACACAGCTGATATGTTTACCAAGTCAGTTACTATCAACTAGTTCTTGCATTGCTTAGACTTGTTGAATGTCTGCAGTTGCTAGAGAAGCATGGTGGCCCAACCCACATTGGTGCAGGTGTAACTCCCAAGTATTTTTTCTCATGAGGGGCTGGATATTCGCCAAGGTGGAGATTTGTTATGGTATGGCTCATATACCATATATGGACAGACGTTTGATCGAAATGGGGTGGAGCGGAACGGAGCGGAACGGAGCGGAGCGGAGCGGAGCGGAGCGGAAGAATATGTCCAAATCGGGAAATTACGTGGGTTGGGGGTGCGGAGGCAACGCCCCGCGGTACGGTACTGGGGTAATGTTGTAATTACGTATTGTACTTAGGGTTTACTCCTGGGGTTATAAATAGACATATTAGTAACCTAGGAGGCATCTCTGATTTCTGTATTCTCTTTTCTGAATAGTGAAAGAATTCGTTGCCTACTCCCGAGAACGTAGGCATCTTTGCCGAACCTCATTAAATCTTTATTCTTCTGGATTTGTGTCGATTCATGTTTTTTTTTACCCTAATTTCTCAACAGTAAGGGCAATCCATTATTATAGTGGATGCTGGCAAAACAAAAACCTTACTGTTACTGTCCTGAGCTCGCTTTTCCATGGATCCAGCCACACAGTCAAGAATGCATGTGGCCTTTTTGGAGATGATGCTGGAGCGCTTTCTAGAAGATTATGCATCACCAGAGACCAACTGAGAGTTGTTCTCGGCGGCTAGTGAAGCTGAAGAAGCTGCCAAAAGAAGGTAAAAGAGGGCGACTCTTGCAGATTTGGGTAGTCTTTGGGGTAGAGCTCTTTTAAGGTAAAAATCATCTTTTTCTTCTTTTGTTGCAACAAACCAATCTCTATTACTTTTAATTTCTTAATACGTGGCACGTCCAGTGATGGAAAAACACAACCACCCTTGTAATTCCCATGAAATTTTTTATCATACCGCTTTACATTTGGCATGTCGTGAAGGTACGGGGACCCGAGGAAGGTCAACTTGGCACTGTACAATCATATTGCTTTAGTTTGGAGATCAAATTGGCACTGTGCATTCATATTGCAGACCTTGCACCCATGTGAGCATATAAGAACAGTTTTTTTAGGTTGTTGTGTGTTCGAAGTTTTTCAAGCATCTTCTCTTGATAAGAAATCATCAAAAACAGCATCATACAAAAAGATTAACTTAGATTATGAATTGCAAGTGACAATGACAACTTATTGTTCTTGGCAGCAAAGTGAGTTTACTTTCAGGAAAATGCACATATATTAAATGTACGTCCCGCCCCCTCTCTTCTCCTATTGTGTGTCACCTGGTAATTTTTCCATTTTAAGGGAACCGGAAAAATATGAACAAAGAACAAATGATTCTCGATACTTAGAAAATTCTTAATGTACTTCAAATAAATTTTGATCATTTCTCTCACATGTCTCTAAAGCGAACGCATACCTCCAAATCTTGATCAGTTCATGCATATATTATGGCAATTTATGTGATAAATCATGTATCGTGTAGAACTCTTATATATTGCATTAATACCAATACAACTTTGCAGTCCAAGATACTCAACTCTCATCAAATATTTTATCAGCTGAACGCATACCTCCAAATCTGGAATATAGTGTAAAACTAAAAACCAGGTGTTAATTATGTAAGCACATAGGAATTGGTTTGTTTATATGGGCATTTATATGCATACCATCCAATATCTATGGATTGCCATATCCAGCACCTAAACTTTAATTCCTGCATTTACATCACCTAAGTCTTTTATATCAAGTGCAAAATACCGCCATTTTAACTTTTAAAAAAGTGAAATACATCATTTCATGCATAAGGAGGGTGGTATATAAATGTAAAAGTTGAAGTTTAGGTGTTACATATGTAAATACTTAAGAATTAATTGTGTTGAAATTTAGAATAATGCGGAATACTTCAGAATACTTTCATTGATATGAACGTGGGTATAAATAACCCTTACAAGAATATTATACTAGAAAAATTGATAAAAAAAATTATATAAAAGGAAGATATATCACATTATGCCACTCGTACAAACACCTTATGCATTGACCAACATAGCTATCTTACTCAGCTCCTTCTCCAGCCAGATATGCTAGGTTGCAAAGTGGTATCTACTCCATTGCCAATTAAGCGAGATAACATTCAACACAACATTCATCCTCTGGCAAATCCTATCGAATTTTGCCAAATCACAGATGCACTGAAATATTTAACAATCAAGCATCCGGATATAAAATTTGCTTTGAACTTTTTATTTAAATTTTTTTTTTTTTTTTTTTTTTTTGCATTGACGGAATTAATGATGGTTAAAGAGAATCTTTTTAGTCGCCGGTACATACGCTCATCGATAATTTTACATTGTACACAGATAAAAAGGCATATTATGCTGAGTAATCATGCTAAATATTCAACGCTTGCTACCTCCATCGCACATCCACGGCCCGTCCAAGCGGCTAAGTTCATATTCTCCCTCATCACCACCAACAGCTACAATGGCACACCAGAACATGTTGAACATCGACCCGAGAAGCGGCTTCTGCTCCACTAACTCTATCTTTTACAGCAAGAAGGATCCCATCTCCCTCCCTTCCAATCCCAACATTGACATCACAACCTTCATCTCTTCTCAGCCTCACTTCGGCACCACTGCCTTCATCGACGCTTCCACCGGCCGCAGTCTCTCTTACTCGGATCTCTGGCGCTCCGTCAATGGCCTCTCCTCTTTCCTATCCTCCGTCCATGGTATCTCTAAAGGCAACGTGGTCCTCATCCTCTCTCCAAACTCCCTCTACGTCCCCATCGTCTCCCTCGCCGTCATGTCCCTCGGCGCCGTTCTGACCGCCACCAATCCGCTGAACACCGCTCGCGAAATTTCGGTCCAGATCGCGGACTGCAGCCCAGTCCTTGCTTTCACTACCCGCTCCCTCCACGCGAAGCTCGCGGGACACGAACTCCCCATCGTCTTCCTCGAAGAGAGCACGTTCGAGGAGGTGAGCATAAATTGGACTGAATTTTCTGAGGAGAACTAATTTGATTTGGATACTTGGCGCTTTTTTATTATTATTTTTTTAATATCCGGGCAGTCAAATTCGGGATGATTCTTTTTGAGGCATCTTCATACATATTACATATCTACATATCTTACATCTAAATTTTTTACATTTATGCTAATCAAATCTTTCATACGGCATAAAAATACCATAATTTAACTTAAAACAAAAAGGTCTACGGAATATACAAATATATAACTTGGAGTTCAGATGTTAGATATAAAATACATAAGAATTGAGTTGTATGTATGTAAATCTTCCTCCCCCTCCCAAAGTATTGGAGAACATGAGCAGCTTTGTCTATTTAGGCCTTCTTCCACGGCAACTATGGGCCCAATGAAGTAATTTTAATATCTCATTAATATTTTGCAGCACCAAAGAGCTTGAGCTCATTTAAAGTTTGACCTAATTCAAGCATTTTATAAAAATATATATATTTAACTTTGAGTTCGACTCATGCTGACTTAGAACTTTTAAAATGTTTTATATACAACCAAAAGAAATTTTTTTTTTAGATAAAATATTTTAAAATATTTTATAGAACCAAATTTAAAATAGAAGAGCTTATGAAATATTATGTTCCAAATTACAGTAAAGCAAGCCGGTCAATTACATAAATATACTTGTTAATTAAGTAATATATGAATGATGATTCTGCATATTGATCACATAAGATTTTGTTGGTGTGGTTTGCAAAAATGAATGCTTTAAAATCTTAATGCATAAAGAAGAAAACTAAACTAGATTTTGTGAAGTTTTTTTGGTCTACATAGTTCATACTCGGATTTCTCGATATTTTCTTATGAAACTCAAGTTGTTGTTGACAACCAGAAATATGTAATCTCTAGCTTATGTCTAGATCATTAAAAAAGTTGAAAATTTTATTACTGTTAAGTAGATTTAACCATGCAGTATTTCTAAGGAATCATTTAATTCCCTATCTATGTTGCATTTTTGTAATGACACTATGTATATTCCACTAGGCTATTATGTGTCAACATACTTATTCTTTTAGGTGATGGTTAGAAGTCCTAGAACACAAGAAATTTTAATATTCTATCGAGTCAAATTCAAATTAAATTAAAAAAAAAAATTAAAACATCAACATATCAAATACAAGCACATAAAAGGTGCTTAGAGAACAAAATTCATAAGAGAAAGGATCAAGAAAATCACATGTATTGCATTACAGAAATATGAAAATGAAATTAAATATTATGCTTAAGAATAAAAAACATAAAAAATTTATTTTTGTCAGCTTAAACAATAAACAATTCATAAAGTATATAAAACTCAAACCTCATGATCCTCTCAATCCATCAATACATGCATCCATAGATCTATTTTATATAAGTGCACTCAATCTCTTGTCACCACTTCTCTAAACTGACAAGAAATAGTCATGGGAATTGAATCTTCTCCAAGGAAAACCATTGGAGATAACCCTAGGGCCGACAAATCTCCACTAAAACCTGAAAAGAAGCACCCTCCACAATGTCTAAGAGTATTTTAATTGTGCAAACAAGCATATTTATAGTTAGGGCATCCAAATATAAAAGAAAACTTTCAATTTTGATTTTTGTATGCGTGGCACACCCCCGCTCGTGCCCATCGTGAGTGCGTTAATCCTTGACAACGGAGTAGTGCGGGCGTGCTCGCCTTGGCTATGAGCTCACCATCCTAGGTATGGGTATGCTGCTCATGGAGTGGCACGAGTATGGCATTTTGCGGGTGCACCAAGCAATAATTCCTTTCTTCCCTCTTGGCTCCCCAATTTGTTTCTTTCTCTTCCAATTGATTCTAAGTCAACGTGCCAACTAATTCCTACAAATTTGTACTTCTAATGCCAAAACTTTTTTTTTTACGCAACTCTTTCATAAAATTGCTATTTTAATTTAAACTTAACTTTTTATCATGTTTTTTTTAAGTAATTATTTTTATTTATAATTTATTTTTTATTTTTAACTCACCATTATTGAATACTTTACAATATTAATAAAAACTTAATTTACATTTTTTACACATTTTAAAATATAAAATTATTAAGATATATTTAAAATAAGTGATATATAAAATTTTATTATGCATTTTACTCATCTCTACATTAATTCAACGATTCTAAATTTATCCTGAACAAAATTACGTGAGCATGTCCTCAACCAATTGTTCACCTGGCATTTTTTAAAATAGTTCAAAAAAAATATTATTAATCAGAATTAAATCAAGCAAAAACTTTAAATTTGTAATTTTAAGATAAGTTTGATTGAGATCTGTTTCCATAATCTCGATTATATTCATGTTTCAAGCAGATGCCCGACACAAACAGCCACCAGCGTTCGCCGCCGCGCGAACCCATGAGCCAAGACGACACGGCGATGCTTCTCTACTCCTCCGGAACCACCGGCAAAAACAAAGGGGTAATCTCCACGCACCGGAACTTGATCGCCACCATTCGGATTCTACACGCGAGATACCAACCCGATGGATTCCAGTTGAAAACGCTTATCTGCACGGTGCCGATGTTCCACATATACGGCATGGTAGGATATGCGATCGGGGTGCTGACAACGGGATCGACGGTGGTGATTTCCCCACGATTTAACATGGAGGAGATGCTCCGAGCAGCGGCAGATTACGGTGCAACAGATATTGCGACGGTCCCGCCGGTGTTGGTGTCGATGGTGGGGTCGGAGAAGGTTTTATCGTTGGGACGTTTGAAGAAGATGACTTGCGCCGGCGCGCCGCTGGGGAGAGAGATCGTGGAGCTGTTTCGGGAGAAGTTTCCGGAGGTGGATATATTGCAGGCGTACGGACTCACCGAGGCGACGGGGATGGGATCGTCGATTATTACGGCGGAGGAGAGCAGGCGGTACGGGTCGGTGGGGTTGCTGGTGCCGAATACGGAAGCGAGGATTGTGGATCCGGTGAGCGGGGAGTTCTTGCCGGTTAATCGGAAGGGGGAGCTCTGGTTACGCGGGCCGTACGTGATGAAAGGTGAGTTCTGATCTGTTTGCAATAAATTTTAAACTAAAGTTTGCATTTTTTATATTTATATCTCCCTAATCTTTCGCATCAAATCTATCACCATGAAATTAAATATAGCTTTTTCATATAAAATTTAAATGAAAGTATAGGTTATTTTAAGAACCCGGAGGCAACCGAATTAACACTGGACAAGGAAGGTTGGCTGAGAACAGGAGACCTATGTTACATTGATGAGAATGGCTATCTCTTTGTGGTTGATCGCATCAAAGAATTGATAAAGTACAAGGCATACCAGGTGAGTTTCATCAGGGCGTTCATTGCGGGGTAAAATTTAATTATGGTATAATTTTCAGCCGTTTGATCATATCTCATGCTCGGATTGAGTTTATCAGGTGGCTCCTGCAGAGTTGGAAGCCTTGTTGCTAAAGCATCCTGAGATTGTTGATGCGGCTGTGATCCCGTAATAGTTACAGCTAATTTTGTCTTTAACGTTGATTGATTATGAGTAAATCTTAGTGTTTTTTTTATCAGTCAATATGACAATAATTATTAAAAAGAAAACAAATTTTCTTATAGTATAAGAAAATTACATATGAGGAATTTAAATACCACATAATTCCTATGTATTTATGTATATAACATACAAATTTTAATTTTTTCACATTTTTATAAGCCAAATCTTTTATATCACATCAAAACAACAACTTTTAAAAGTGAAAATACAGATTTTCATGCATAGCCATGTGGTATGCATCTATAAAGTGAAGTTTAGATATTAGATATGTAAATACTCAGGAATTGAGTGGTATTATGTAAATTTTCCTTCTTAGAATTTAGTGGGAAATATTTTGTGTCATTTTTAAAGGAATTTGATATGACTAATGATTATTACCAAGTTGTTTGGTGTAGGTTTCCAGACAAAAAGGTTGGGCAGTATCCAATGGGTTATGTAGTGAGGAGCAAAGACAGCAAATTATCGGAGTCGATGGTAATAGAGTTCATAAGAAATCAAGTTGCGCCTTATAAAAAACTTAGGCGCGTGGATTTTGTGTCGGCAATACCGAAGAGCTCGACAGGAAAGATATTACGTAAAGATCTCATACAACATGCAACGTCCATCTCCAGTCTCTAAACTATTATTTCCTCAATGCTTCTATTTTGTTTTCGTTTAATAAATATTTGAATGCAAAATGAAGAAAATGACAGTTTGTGATGAGAAAAAAAGGTTAAATTGGATCATTTTCAACATAACCTGTGCTTTTGATTGAGCTATTGGTTTCATCAACATGAAATGAGAATAAATATTCTTGAAAAAGTTCAAGAATAATTCTTCTAAATTCTTCATAAGCAAGTAAATTATATATTCAAATTCAATAAAACTTATATGAAATGAAGTTATATAAACCATCAAATACATACCGAGAGAATATGTCATCTATTCAAGAATATAGATCGGATATGGATTTGATTTGTGAGAGAGTGGATGAATTTGACATGACTTGAGAGCCATTTTATATTTTTACAGAATAAATAACTTCATAATGTTTAATTGATGAAAAATTATTACACACAAAGTCTATATGCATACAGACATTATGTATAACATTGTTGTACACCGTAAACATTGTTGCACACATATTAAATAACAACATACAATAATATTGTATATGAAGCCTACATAATATTCTCTCATGTTCTGATAGTTCCTCTTACGAGTTTTTTGCCTTAGATAACCTGCAACAGACCAGATTAGATGGAAATAAAGGAGCAATCGAAGAATAGGCATTGAGGTAGGAGAAGGAGAAGAGGAAGATGTAGGAAGGAAGAAAGAATTTGTAGAATGAGGAAAAGGGAAAACCAAATAATTCTCTTATGTCTTTCACACTCCTACAACATGCTATCTATACTCTCCTCACTCATTCATCCACTTCCCTGTTTTAAATAACCTAAGCAGCCTGGACAAAAAAAAATAGAACACTCGTCCAATTAGTTACATAGCTTATTCTATATGTGAGAACCAGCCTTATCACTAGCATTTCTACCGTATTTTTTCCTTTGTCCACTTAGTTGTCTTTCATCCACCTAGGCATGGTTTGTCCCCAATGAGATCATTGTGGCCTGCCCCGATCGACTAGATTCTACGTCTACTGCTTTATGTTATTTTGCGTCATGTTCACTCACCCAATTTAATTCACATATCTAACACCTAAACTTTGCTGTTATATTTTTGCTACCTAAATCTTTCATATCAAATAAAAAATAACCCTATTTTAACTTTTAAAATGTGAAATATATCTTTTCATACATATATAAAGTGGTGGGTGTGTAAAAAATTAAGTTTAGGAATTACATATGTAAATACATAAGAATTGAGGGGTATGTATGTAAATCTTCCTTTTCTTATTTAGATAATGGTTTATGGGTATAATATTTTTCTTAAGAAAAATATAATCGCAAGGGTTAAAACTCACTACAAAACCTATACCTATATATATATATATATATATATGAAAGAAGAGTCTTCCAGTGCCCAGGAAAATATCTTGCTGTTATCCAAAGTGTGGTCCAGTACTCCATATGCTGCTCCACTACCGGTTAGTTAAGACGATCAAGTTTATATATATATATATATATATATATATA